CACTAAACTACAACCACTGTATTTAGCCACAAGCATTAGCAATGAATGCATAATTGGGTCTACAATAGACATAATTGCATTTCTAATCATGTATGACATTTAGTTACAGTTATACTAGATTTGGTTGTCATTAGTGTGAACACTCTATGTCCACTGCGGGCTGCAGTATAATACGTGTTTGTATTCAATGATTGCATCACTGGTATTACAGTTACGGTTATATAATAGGCGTGCACCTAATAAACCGCTAATTCAGTCATTGTTTAGCCACTTGAATGCGCAATGTTAGTGTCACCTGGGTATGTTATATGTACAGTATTGTCCAGTATTTGCACAATAAGTGTGACCAATGGTGTCACATATATTTACTGTAGTGACCAAAGTGTGCAAACTTTGTGCACTTTTGCCTCCAGTGTATGACTCACTGCTTGCATAGCCTAACCATACGTGTGGTGTCCATAGATGGCATACATCACAACCACTGCTACCATGCATTCACTGTTGTGTACGTCTCTTATGTGTTGTGCCACTCGATGGCAGCTATAGGTGTGGCTGTAATAGAAGGCAAACACTACTGCTGTTTGACATTGTGTTGAATACAGTGCACACCTATTGGCGTAACATTGCTTACAGTTACTCATAAATCGTATTCAATACACCGCTATTACAATGTGCCATACAGTACTGCATTACAGTTAATACTAACCACACGACATTCAAATAGACATACAGTTTGCTAAAACAGTACTACACTGTAGGCCAGCAGTGAATAGTCTAACTGTAAGAGTAGTGTTGAGTGTCGAGTGAAACACACAATAAGTGTAGCGAATGTAAGCCAATATGAGTTTGACTTATGTTTTGGTGATTGCAGTGAAAGCATTCAATCATCAATTCATAGCTTATTTGTTGTTGTATTCATTGAATATCATTACCATTACAGACACCACACACACGACAACGATGTCCAACAAATACATCCAAAACAATGCGTCCACCCTTTGGATGGGAGATGTAAGTGACCACTGATGACATGAATGTCACTATTGTTTGTTTGTTTACCATTTCATTGATCACTAACTGATGGTTAGATCGAAGAGGGTATGGACGAGAGGTTCATAAAGACCTCGTTTAACCTCATGAGTCAAGACC